AAGGATGATGCGGCTTTGATATTCTTCGAATCGGTGATGGTCTTCGACTAACTACACCAATACAAAGGGATCATCAAAAACAAACAAAAATAGTCCATTTAGGAGGCTAATGAATTTTGGTGTCAATGCACATGAACAAAATAGGGAAAATAGTATATACACTATAAGAAGATTAATACAAACTTTTAGAAATTTTGTATGCTATAAACAGATTATTTCTAGAAAATTAGTACCTATATATCTCATAACCAAACTCTACTAATTAACTATATATATATATATATATATATATATATATATATATATATATATATATATATATATATATATATATATATATATATATATATATATATATATATATATATATATATATATATGAAACAATTTAGAGGACTAACACCCTATATGATTAAACAACTTATTTCCACGTTTATCATATAATTGCTTATATTATAAGTCATTTATATGAAACAAAGAAGAAGAGGCAATAAGTTACTACCTTTGAATTATGGATGTCATCAAAGCTTCTTAGCAATAGGACTTTGTCCAGAACCACACAAACCAGTCAAATAATGATCTACACCATGAAAGAAATAGAATCCGAAAAACCAGTCATAAACTTATGCCAACAAGAATCATGCTACAAACAATTTCTCTATTAGCTTGCTCTTAGCCATGTTAATGCACTCTAACAAATAAAAAAACTTCCCAAATTGATTTTACACAGAACAACATTGAGCATTTTAGTTTATCATGATTTTAGTAAAACTTGGATTCAAGAAAGAACCTACCTTGAGAAAGGGCCGATCGGAATGGAGGACAATCGAGAGAGACGGTGGAGGACAGAGGGAAAGGACGGCGGACGGAGCTTGACAACGGCGTAAGGAGCTTGGACGATGACTTAATGAGCTTGGACAACGACGATTTGTGAGAGGGAAAGGGTTTTCGTTCGTGAGTCTGAGAGGGAAACGAGTCTGTGAAAAGAGAAACAATATTGATTCTATTTTTTAATTTTAATTTATATGTCTTTAGACAACGCTTTTTAGAAAGCGCTGGCTAATGTGGTCGTTTAGCAGCGCTTTTGAAAAGCGCTGGCTAATGTGGCCCTGTAGCAACGCTTTTGAGTTTTTTTTTTAATTTTATGACTTTAGACAGTGCTTTTTAAAAGCGCTGTCTAAAGTGGTCCTTTTCCAGCGCTTTTAATAGAGCGCTTTCTAAAGCAAGACTTTTAGCAGCACTTTTTAAAAGCATTGTCTAAGGTCACATTTTTAGCAGCACTTTTATTTATTATTTTATACAGTTTCCGTGTTTTTTTTAAAATTCACTTATAGCAGCACTTTTGTATAAAAGCGTTGTCTAATGTGCACTGTTAAAAGCCCTTTTTGGCGTAGTGTTACTAGAGCGAGTGACACTCATTGGGATTCCCACTTTAGAACTATCATTAGTTTGATGACTTTGTATGGTACCATTATTAGGTTACTTGAAGAAGTTGGGAATGATAATTCATTTGAAAAAAATGGTGAAATTATGTTTTTATTATATGTGATTTAATTCTTTGATTTTATCTTCATGTTATATATGATGGTTGAGATTTAAGGATTTACAAATAATTTGAATGCAGTGTTACAAAAGTGTGATTAAGATCTTTTGAATGCTTTGTCACTTGTCAATGCTATCAAACAAGAATTACAAGAAATGAGGAATGATGGATGGAAAGAACTTATATCTAGTGTTATGGAAATTTGAAATAAGCATGATATTTATGTGCCTGATATGGATGCACCGTGTGTGCAAGGGAAGAAAACTAGAAGACAAGCTACAACTTATAGTGTTTCTAATTTACATCATTATAAGCATGATTATTTGTTTAGTATTTTAGATTTGCAGTTGCACGAGCTCAATGCTATATTTGATGAAGAGAATCCTGAACTTTTAGAATGTGTTTCATGTTTGAGTTCTTCATCATCATTTGAAGCTTTTGATGTGAAAAAATTATAAGGATGGTTGAACTTTATCCAAATAATTTTGTAGATGTGTAAGAAGTGGTGTTGCGACATCAACTTCAAATTTATGTTAGAAATGTCAGATGTGACCCAAAATTTTCACAATTAAAAGGACTTTTAGATCTTTGTGCAAAGCTTGTGGAAACAAATAAGTGCAACACATTTATGTATATTTATCTATATAATATATTAATTCAAATGCATCAAATATTATAACAACACATCATCAATTATAACTCTAACACATCATCAAGTATGACTCTAAAGTTGCTACATCATTCTATAGTCCTATGTGGCACATCCAAAAACTCATTTTCATCTTAGACTTCTACAAATTGAAAGTCACGGGTTCGAACCCTCGCAAAGGCGGAATAATATATTATTTTGAAAAAATGATCTAACAAACCAATCATTAATCCAACTGTGTATATTCCCTTAAATTAAAAACATTTTCTCATATTTCAAATATAAAAGTGATATGGAAATTCAAATACAATAAAATATTTTTTATTTTCCTGAAATTATAGCAATAAATGTAACACTTGAAGTAAATATTTTTAATCTGAAAGTAGTTCTTATATAATTTTCAAGTATAAGTCACATTAAACTTATTTAAAATATAATATAATATGCAACAATTATTTACGATGTCTATATACTTTACTACAATATTTTATAATATCAAATAATAAACTAATGACAAATAACAAAATACTACACAAAAGAGATAAGAGAATTCAAACACAATAAAATATTTTTATCTTATTTTATTGCTATAATTTCATTAAAACAAAAAATATTTTATTGTGTTTGAATTTTGACATCTCTTTTATTTTTGAAATTTGGGATAAATATTCTTAATATAAGTGAATATAGATAGTTGGAGTAATGATGAGCTTATTTGAGAGGTCAGAGATTCGAACCCTCATAAAGACGGAATAATATATCATTTTGAATAAATTGATCTAACAAACCAATCATTAATCCAACTATGTATATTCCCTTAAATTAATAATATTCTCTTATAATTCAAATATAAAAGAGATGTGGAAATTCAAATACAATAAAATATTTTTTGTTTTCCTGAAATTATAACAATAAATGTAACACTTGAAATAAATATTTTTAATCTGAAAGTAGATCTTATATAATTTTCAAGTATAAGTCACTTTAAACTTATTTAAAATATAATATATTATGCAACAATTATTTACCGTGTCTATATACTTTACTACTATATTTTTTATATAAGATCAAATAGTAATAAACTAATGACAAATAACAAAATACTACAGAAAAGAGATAAGTGAATTCAAACACAATAAAAATATTTTTATCTTATTTTGGACAAAATGGTTTAACAAGCTAATCATTACTCCAAATATGTATATTCCCTTATATTAAAAATATTTCTCTCTAATTTCAAAAATTAAAGAGATGTCAAAATCCAAACACAATAAAATATTTTTTGTTTTCATGAAATTATAACAATAAAAATAACACTTGAAATAAATATTTTTAATCTTAAAGTAGTTTTTACACAATTTTTAAATATAAGTCATTTTAAGTTGATCTTAGAAAATAACATAATATGCAACAATCTTATAAAATTCGACGAAATAGATATAAATTAAAAAAAATTATTGAAAGTTTTATTTGATAATAATTATAAATAAACTTTTAAGATTATTTAACACTAAAAATAAATACATACATTTAACAAATTAAAGCAAATTAAACAAAAGATAAGTGAATAAAAACATGAGAATCAAAATAAAACAAAAAAAATCACTTTATAGATATGTAAGTTTGCAAATCTAAATTACAGATCTCACTCTTAATTTTCACGCATGTATTTTCTTTTCAAATGAAATATATATTTGTCTATGTGATTAATTTATATTATTGTTTCCATTATAATTCACAAAAAAAAAGTTTGTAATATAAATTTAGTAATCATATTTTGTCAAAATCAACTCTTAATATATTAAAAATATATATTTGTCTATGTGATTAATTTATATTATTGTCTCTATTATAATTTAAAAAAAAGTTTGTAATATAAATTTAGTAATCATATTTTGTCAAAATCAACTCTTAATATATTTAAAATTAAATAATAAAAATGAATAAACTAATTTACAGCCGCGCATCGCGCGAATCTTAATCTAGTTTAACATGATTTATAAGCTACTCTAATTGACTTTAGTCTTGCCGGTAACAATTACAAACGTGAAATATATTTTTTCGACTATGAAGTTTGTGAAGAGTCACCTATGTAACAAAATTAGTGATCACTAATTAAATAATCGTCTTATAACTTTTATAAAAAAAAATGTTCTTGAAACAATTAACAATGATGTTATTTTATCTCATTTAAAAAAAATAAATGATAGGCGATTTTTATTATAATATATTGTATTAAAGAATAATATTTTTAATCATTTTTAATATAATTTAATTCAAAATTCTTTTTATGTTTGACCATATTAATGTAGGGGCAATTCCGAGGAGAAAACATTTTACTTGGGACACACCTTTGTAAGAAACATACCACTTATCCATCTAAAACCTTAAGGTGATAGATGAGTGGGTTCTCTCATTTATAAGTGTTCAATCTTCCCTTTTATAATCAATGTAAGACTTCTTCCTCACACTTGATTCTCAACGATTAATATATAATGTTTGGATCTACCAACTAATTTATTCATACTCTAAATCAATTAATTTACGTATAAAAAAATTGTAAGGAAGACTTATGAATTTTGAGTAACACGTGACACAAAAGCATGATCCTGCACTCAGTTTCTAAATCCACCTGTCCTCACAAGAAAAATATCCACACAACACAAAATGGTCATTTACATTTTCTCTTAGAATCTATCAATCATATATATATATATATGACCAGTTTTTCATTTTCAATTCAGGACCATTGATTCTTAACTCACTTGCAAACAACAAGAATACAAGGTACACCATCATATAACTTCAATGGAGGAATCATGGACTAATTGGTTATGTGAAATGGTAAAGTAAAATTCTACAATATAAATTTGTTTCCATATTAATAATTATAACATTATTCTGTTTATATATGCTTCAAGTTTTCTATATTTTTCCAGGATCCAGATGATTACAGTTTCATCAACCAATCAAGCATAAATGCAGACATTGTTAGTAGTTTTGAGAGTAACTTAGAGTTAGAAAGGCCTTCAAAGTTACTCAAAACAGCTTCCTCATCAACTTGTTCATACAATATTTCGTTTGAAAATGAAAATCCACCACCAGTAAGAGTTGAACCAGCTTTGAAGCCAAAATACAAAACTGTGAACTCAAAGATGAACAGTTCATTTTTAAAATCTACAACTCATCACATACCAGATCATATTATTGCTGAGAGAATGAGGAGAGAAAAGATTAGCCAACAATTCATAGCTCTTTCAGCTCTTATTCCAAATCTAAAAAAGGTTCATTTTTGTTAATACCCATTTGACTCAAATGTTTAAATATTTATATACATGAATTGATACTTTTGTGGTTATTATTAATATCATTTAGTTTATATACTTTTTCGTTATAAATTTTTCTCTGATATTACTCTCAATCATAATTGTTCAATCGTTAAAAATTTTGAAATAATTGTTTTTGGTTGATTGTTCATTTTTATCCAAACATTGCATTATTTTTTTTATATGTCTATCAATTTTAATAGTTACATCATTACAAATACCTGAGTTTATTCATACAATAAATTTTTTGAAAATAATTTAGTGTATTGTTTTTTTATAATAAAATTAATATTTTTTGATAATTCATCCTTATTAATTATAGTCAATAGATAAGTGAAAATCAATAAATAAAAATTTATTAATAAATGTTAAATTAATTATTTTAACATAGTAAAAAATTAAATTAAATTTTTAACACAGCAAATAATATTATAAAAATAATTATTTTAACACAGTAAAAAATACAATTAAATTTTTTATGAGATGAGAAAATAGAGTCTGTTTGTATATTATTTTATCTGTTCAAATAATATTTGTGATGAGGAAATATATAAATATAGTCTATGATATTTTTAATAAATATTTCAAAATATTATACGAAATTTTTTAATATTATTTATTGTAGAAACAACTGATACTAAATTATAGATAATCACATATATTATAAGCTCCTATTGACATGCTTATATATAAAAAATTAAACCTATTCTAGTTATATATTTGTTGTAGGTAGACAAGGCTTCTGTGTTATGTAATGCTATTAAATATGTGAAGGAGCTTAAGGAGCAAGTGAAACTGTTGGAGGAACAAACCAAAAAGAAAAGTGTAGAATCAATGATGGATGAAGATACTTCGTACACTTCCTCATGTAATGAAACCTCAAAAACAAATCTGATACTGCCAGAAGTTAAAACTAGGTTGTCGGGTAAGAATGTGGTGATTCGAATCCTCTGTGAGAAAGATAAGGCAGTGATGGTGAATGTGTATAGAGAGATAGAGAAACTTCATCTCTCAGTTATCAATGGAAGTTCATTGTGCTTTGGTTCGTCTGTTCTGGCCATAACCATCATTGCTAAGGTACATTTTTAATTAATTATTATTTTAGTTAGGTGTATTTTTATACTTCAATGATTAACATAACAATGAAATAAAAAACGTAGACAAATTAAATGTAGTATGGAGTTTCAGTAACTGAAGTCACTGATGACTGATGACTAGTTAGTTTGTTTGTTTGTGGCAGACGGAGGATGCATTGAAAACGAGCATGGAGAAAGTGGCAAAAAACGTGAGAGTTGGATTGTTGTAATTAAAGTAGGTTGTAGTATGCGGTGGCAATAAGATGATGGATTCAGTGATTGTTGAAACAAAGTACACCAATAATTGCGACGTGGGAAGGAGAAGTAATGTACACGAAGAGGACTGTATGGACAGATTCAGACCTATGACGGCGAGGATATCGATGTTTATTTATGGAAAATGGAGACGAGTCATGTGACTAATTCCACAGTGCTAAATACAAACAAAATTTAGTTCATGTATTTTGAAATAAAATCTAATTAAATGGATCAAAATAATTTATTAATTTATTAAAAATGTTTATTGAATTATTAATAAATTAATAAATTATTTTGATCCATTTACTTATTATTCAATTTATATTTTATAGGTAAATGAATTAAAATAATTTATTAATTTATTAATAATTTAATAAATATTTTTAAAAATATTCAATTTAATCAATCTATTAAAAAGAAAATTCAATCAATTTATTAATTAACAATATTTAATAAATAGATATTCATTCTTTCAAAAAAATTAATTTAAATATATTTATTTATTCATTTAAAAATATATTTTATATTTTTGAATAAATTCGAAAATTTTATGTTTTTGAAAAAACATAATTTTATATTTTTCAAAAAAAATTTGATTTTTCAATTTTCAAAAAAAATCGATTTTCTAAAAAAACTTGAATTTTACAAATTTCTGTTTTTTTTTTTTGGATTTTTTCAAGAAATTCAGTTTTTCTATTTTTTAAGAAAAACATGATTTTTGATTTTTCAAAAAAAAACTTGATTTTTCGATTATCCGAAAAAAATTATGTTTTCCAAAAAAAATTCAGTTTTTCGAAAAAAAACTCGATTTTCTGAATAAATTAGATTTTTCAAAAAACACGATTTTTAATTTTCTAAAAAAAATCGATTTTTCGATTATCCAAAAAAACTCTACTTAATCGATTTTTCGAAAAAATTTGACTTTTTTGATTTTCTGATAAAAAATGTGATTTATTCGTAATTCCGAAAAAACTCGACTTTTTTATTTTTCAAAAAAATTCGATTTTCTGAGTTTTCAAAAAATCTCGATTCATCGATTTTCTAAAGAAAAAAAACTCGATTTTTTTGGAAAAAACCTCAATTTTTTGGATTTCAGAAATAAACTCAATTTTTTGAATTTCTGAAAAAAACTCAATTTTTTTATTTTCCTAAAAAAACTCGATTTTCCAAAAAAACTTGATTTCTTCAATTTTATGATTTTCCATATAAACTCGATTTTTTCGTATTTTTGAAAAAACTCAATTTTTTGATTTTCCGAAAAAACTCGATTTTTCGAATTTCCAGAGAACCTCGATATATCGATTTTTTTTCCTATTTTCTGAAATATGAGCAATTGTTCCTAACCTGTCGGAAATATGATACCGATCAATAAATCAACGAGTAAGTTTTTTCGATTTCAAGGCGCGTCCAACATCGTTCACCAGAGTGACTCTCAAGAATACATGGTCTCCTTCTTGAAATCAAAGATCCTTCCTTCTCTTATCTCTTTTGCCTACTCTGTGAAGCTTTCATCTTATCCTAAATTAACTTCACCTTCTTGGTAGTCTGCTAGACAATCTCAGACCCAAGTGCCACACTCTCACCAGATTCATACCAATACAAAGGTGTTCTACACCTCCGACCATACAATGCCTCAAAGGGTGTCATTCCAATGATGGAGTGAAAACTATTGTTATAAGTGAACTCTAATAGTGGATGATAAATATCCCAAGTACCTCCTTGCTTAAAGACTGAAGCCCTTAACAAATCCTCCAATGACTGAATAGTTCTCTCTGTCTAGCCATATGTTTGTGGATGATATGCAGAACTCAATCCCAACTTAGAGCTGAACGCATCCTGCAAACTCTTCCAAAATACAGAAGTAAATCTCGGATTTCTATCGGGGATAATACTCGACGAAATCCCAAGAAGCTTCACAATCACACAGATATAAATCTCTACCAGCTTCGATACAAGAAAACCGACATTAATCAGAATAAAATGAGCTGACTTTGTCAGTCTATCAACTACCACCCACATCATATCATACTCTCTTGGAGTACTCAGTAACCCTGTCGCAAAATTCATCGATATACTATCCCCTTCCATTTTAGAACATCTAACGGTTGCATCAATCCTGCAAGTTTCTAACGCTCAACCTTTAACTTCTGACAAGTTAAACAAGCATACACGAACTGAGCCACATCTCTTTTCAATCCGGACCGCCAAAATATCTTTTTTAAATCCTGATACATCTCAGTAGCCCCTGGGTGGATACTCAAGCTACTTTGATGACTCTCTTCCAATATCATTTGTTTCAAATCAGGGTCATCTGGTATACAAATTCTACCTCAGAACCTCAACACTCCATGTTCATCTACTTTGAAATCACTTTTTTCAGTTTGATTACTCAAACCCATCAAATATACAAATTTAACATCCAACTTTTGAATTTCTTTAGCATTATCCAGAAAATCATTTTTTACCTTCAACATATGTGTCATACTCCAAAATTTACCCTATCTTTATTCATATCCATATTTCGTTGAATCATTCTTCCATGTGCATCCACATTTACCTTTTTTTTTGTTTTAAAGGATACATTGCTTGGGTCTCAAGTGTTGTTCAACGTTTGGTTGTGGTTGGCCTGGCCAGAGGTCTAGTTTTCTCTTGTGGTACAAAGTATATATTCAATTATGGAGGCTTTTGATCTTGTATTCCTGAGATTAGGGTTTTGAGACTTAAAGTCAAGTTCAGTTTAAATTTGGAACCAACTTGATTTAAAGTTAACTTCATTTTATCATCACATTATATCTTCATCACAAGGTTTATCATTACTATCATTATTTTGAAATCTCATTAAAAGTGTTCTTGAACTTGAAAGCGAGTGAGCGTTTGGTTTTCTTGTAACATGACATTCAAGGTGTTTCTAGTATGCTTAATTTGAGATTAGAGAGAGTTTTGGATTAGCTTTCAAGCACTGCAGTTCTCAGTTCCTACTTAAAATTAATAGGACATTTCCATGTTTCTTTGGTTTAAGATTCCATTCATGTCAAGATTTACAAGGATCCAAGTTACAAAAGATTTCAAGTTTTATCCTAAAATTCCAAGTCACATCATCAGTTCTACATTCAAGTTTTGTACTGAATTTACAATACTCAAGTTGCAAGAACACATCAAGTGATCCTAAGCCTAAATGCTCTCAAGATACATTTTCATCATCTTCCAAAGGGGATTCAAATCCATTGACTTAAATTTCAAGTTACGTCACTAATGTTCCAAAGGAATTCAAAGCTCCTTATGCCTAATCTTCATTTGCAATATCATATTGGACAAGTGCAATCCATGGTGTTTTTTTCCTAAAGAGCTAAGATTAAGTTAAATTTATTCATGGCTTGAGTTCACTTTTTGCAAAATCTCCTTAGCTCCATGAACAAGCATCGACCTCATGTTATTTACCCAATTGATTCCATCACTTCCATGACTCAAGCATATGCGTATGCACCTCTTTGCTCATCCATCAGCACCACATGAAAAAAGAAAAACATGAAGGGTGTGGTTAGAATCAAGTTAACAACATTATCCACAACAATAACATCATCCCAAAAGTTAAACATTTGTTAGGTTTCAATTCACATTTTGAGACAAGCCCAAAACATACAAATTAACAAACACATTCAACCCAACAACTCAAGAAATTAAACATGCCATCCCCCCCCCCCCCCCCCAACCAATTTTTTTATTCTAATTTTACCCCTAATGAGATACAAAGAAATTTTCGGTAAAAGGGTTGACATTTCTGGTACATATGAAATTTCTAGTACACTCCTACCAAATTTCCGGTCTTTACCCCTAGTCCTCACTGCAAATATAAGAAAAAAATTAGGAACATATGAACTACTGAAAATTTCTAAATTTCTGGCATTTTTCAAAAAATATGAAATACCGGAAATTTCAAAATTTCTGATATCTTACAAGGTACCAAAAATTTTGTAATCTCCATTGTGGAAGGAAAATATTTCCACCAGAAATTTCAAAATTTCCAGTACGAAAATACCAAAATTTTGAAATTTCCGGTGCAAAGTACCAAAAATTCCTTACTATTTTGATAACACGAAAAATTGTATTATTTATTTAAGTAAATTAGCACATGTTTTATTATTTTTTATCGCATTTTAGCAGTGTTATCCTGTTAATTTTTATTTATATCAGGTACCTCGAGTAGAAATGGCAAAAAAAGAGTTTTGAGTAAAAAGAAGATATTAAAAAAGGAAATGAAGTAAAAATGAGAAAGTGCAAGCAAAAGGCCTAGAGCAAAAGGCCCAGAACAAAGACCCATCAAGAACACAAAAACGTGGCGCCTGCCACATTCCCTTGCTGCCCGCCACCACCAAAGGTTTGGCACCCACCACACCACCTGGCGCCCGCCACCACCAAGGGTGTGGCGCCCACCATCTCCATATGTGGTGCCTGCCACGATGCCACCTTTCCTATTTCTTCTCCACTTTTCCTATTTCCTCTCCACCTTTCCTATTTCTTCTCCACCACTCCTATATTTTTGGGAGAACACTTTCTACCAGTTAGAAAACACGTTAAATAGGATTTGAGAGGAAGTTTTTGGGGGATCCAAGTTTGTGCGCGGAAGCGCTGTTCGTAGGTTTAGGAAAAAATTACATTGTAAAAGTGGTAGTTTGTCACATCCAGGAACTACCACACCATTAGTACTAGGAATTTTATGTACGCTTGGATCAACAATCTTGTCGCCATTAATAAAAGTTAATTCCAATTTCATTTTAATTCAAGTTTCTTTATTTTTCGCATTTACAGGTTCTTATTTATCGTTGTATTATTATTGTTTTTCCGTTTTATAATTGTCAAGCATGTTGTTCTTAATTATGTTTAGCATGTTTATGTTCAAAACCATGTTCGAATAAATCGTTTGATACCGGTATGTAAGAAAAGTTTTATAAACTATTTTTCTGGTTGCAGTTTC